GAAGGGGTCTTCGCTCTTCTCTGTTCTGAATTTCTTCTTTTCCTCTCTTTCTTTTTTTGTTATTTTCCACCTCTGGTTTTTCTCTGAGTGTTCGTCTTTTTGTTGTTGTCGGTCTCTTGGGGAGATTAAACGTTGGAACTCGAACTCTCTTTTTGGTTGGAGAGAGCTGTGGCGTTTCCCTACTGCCCCGTCACCATCTTGGTCCCCCCCTCCACGAGTACATTTCTTATCAAGCATTGTTGCCTCATCATTGTTTCCCCTTCCCATCCCTTCCCATACTCCCCCTACATCCCCCCACCTGATCCTCCCCCTCCCACCAAAGTTGTAAAGTTCGTTTTCCGACATAATGACTTGTACATCTCATTGTTGCAATGGGTCCACCTGTATCCCTAGTTAAACGATTTTTTTCCCTTCCCCTCCACAAATTATACCAACATCAAATACAGTGAAAGCAGGGGTCATACCACGGGAGAGGGACATACAAAGCAACATAGAGATCATAAATAATTTCATCACATTTTCTGCTCTATCTTGCTGTTGCTCAGTGGTCTCTTCCTTAATGGTTATTCTTTTCTCTCCTTAAGTCTCTTTTTGCTCCTTCTCTTCATGTCTCATCTTTCTTCCCTTGTGCTTCCTGTGGCCCAAATCACAACGAGGTTCAGTTCAAATAGCTTATTTAGGCATAGATTAATGCTGACAGAGAGGAAGAGTGAAAAATAAATGTGTTACATTTTTACATGGCTTTGAAAACAGCATTTGTTGAGTTTTTAAGTGATGCCTGGAATTCTACTTGGAATACGTGTTATCTCTAAAACCCTTTCAGCAATGAAATCCGGTAGCTGCTTTCTCCCACCATCTAGATAAGGAAATGAGGCTTAACAAGATTAAGTAACATGCCACAGGCCCCACTTAATAAGCAGTAAAATAGTGTCATACTCTAAAGCATGTTCTTATCCACTGAACTCTAACATCTAAAGATCTTACTCATTTATTTTTATATCTCTAGGGTCTTGTACTCATTGGAAATTTAGACCAATCATCTCTAAACCTTAATTCAATGCTTGAGTACTTGCCAGAACTTAGTCTTTCACACAGTTGTAATTTTATGGCTCAATGGGAACTTGAAGGTTACTTTTACATAAAGCTAACAAATGGTTCCTCTGTTAGCACAGAAATTATCTTTGGCTTTGGCTTCAATCCTGATATATTTGCTAAATCTTAGGATGTTGGTTTGTTTGGCTGAGCTGGAGTTGGTCACACTTTACCCCTTAGATTTATATTAGCAAGCAGACTGGGATCTGGATGAGTAGTTTCTAATGGAAAGTTACTGGTAAATTCAGACCTAGAGCTTCTATCTTCCTGTTTCAGTCCAAGCTCATTCAAGTATATACCATACTGATAAACAAAATTTGGATTTCATTTGCAATTATAATGTTTTGTAGAAGTTATATTATCAAATTACTAGCTTTCTTTACCAAAGAAGTTTCCTAGGTGTGCAATTTGAAAGGCAATTGTTTTCTGTAGTTTTTGAACATCTTAATCTGGATAAATTTTTGAATTATGATCAGGAATATGTCCAAGTCCCTCAGGCAAAGGGTCTATACTAGCAGAAACAAAACAGAAGGTGGATTTAGATTCAGAAGACACCCTATTGCTTTCAAAGCCCATCAATTTTCACTTAGTAGTCACTGGGAGCCTTCTGAGTGTCAGGCTCTGTGCTTGATGCTTTCCATCAATCATTTCTAATCTACAGGGACCTTTGGGAGCTCGTTTATGGTGTACAATTAAGTAAACTGAGGTTCCGGGAACTCAAGTCCCTTACCAGTGTCACACAGGAGATAAGATTCAGACTGCTGTTTGTCTGACCTGAAGCTTAACATTTCCACTGTGCTGTGCCCCATCCTTCCTTCTCCTGAGCAGTTATGGTTATGGTTTAAGGAGAAAATCACTATCTCACAGAAGTAAGCATATTCATCTCAATATTTCCATAATGAAGACCTTCTTCTATCCACTCTTGAGGTGAACTTAAGTGTGTCTTACTGGACAAAAGGGAAAATCAAATCGGAACATAAAACATGATTTTCTACTTTGTCTTACTTAACATTCACATGTCAGCATTTTTGCAGACATAGTTGGCTTTTGACAGAAATGCTGAGTTGAAGGATATTTTGCCAGCAAAATTGCAGTTTTCTTAAGTTGGCTTTCGGTGAGTAAAAGTCAAGAATGTTTTCTCATAGAGCAATGAGAATGGTGTCCTCTCCTCCTGACATCTGTTTTAGACATGCAGAGGGCTAATGTGTTAGCCAGCAGCGGCTCGGTGTGCAGGTCCAGCATCAGATTCCGTGCCTTCTCCATGTCCTCAGCTTTGTTCTCATGGTCTCCCCCTGCCATAAACTCCTTTCAGTCTCTGATTTATAGGCTTCACGAATGGGCAAATTCCTGTGTCTTTCCATAATTTTCTTCTCTTGCCCTAAAATCCAATTGCCTTTTATGTACTCTAGTTTTGAATAGTTGTCTCTCCACAAATTCATGTGAAACACTTTGTCTTCTAGTAGCTGACCAAATATGTTTTCATACCTCAGAAGGTCAATAGACCAGTTAAAAGTAACCCTCGTTCTACTCTTTTTCTACTGCCTTTTAGACTAGGACCACGGTCGTGTGGAGAGAAGTGGAAGGGATCATGTTATAAGAGGTTCAGGGAGTGTGGATGAGAGTGGGTTTTCATGGAATCATTTCAGATAACCCATGTTCTCACCTTACCAAGTGAGGAGAGAGGAGGAAAGGGTTTACCTGAGGTCGTGAAGTGGGCTTTCTTGAGCCCCCTAACCTGGTGCTATTTCTCTCACACTCTCAGGTATTCAGTACACATTTTCCTCATAGCCTAGCGTAGTACATGGGAGAGGTAGAGGAATGACCTCCCTGGGGACTTAAAAGGGAGTCATATACCCCCTTCCTCCTTTGTCTATCAGTCCAGCTAGGTGGGTAACATAATGAACAAAAATGTCAAGCACTGTTTCCCATCTCTTAACCCAAGTCTCCTAAGAACCAGCTCAGGTTCTTAAACTATAAAATAAATAACAAAAATAGGCTGGGTGCTTGTGCCCAGTAAACCTAGTTATTCAGGAGGGTAAAATCTAAAGGATCATGGATTGTGGCCAGATGGATTGAAAAGCCAATGAGACTCCACTTCCAAAATAACTAACAAAGTGTTGTGCTGAATGCATGGATCAAGTTAAGCAGGAAGCTGAAAAATCCAGCATTCAAACGCCAGTACTCTTAAGAATAGAATAGAATAGAATGTCACTCAGTATTTTCAGTGTTTTCTTTTTTTTTTTTTTTGTTGGTCATGGGGCTTGAACTCTGGGCCTGGGCACTGTCCTTTAGCTCAAGGCGAGCGCTCTACCACTTGAGCTACAGCGCCACTTCCAGTTTTCTGGTGGTTTATTGGAGATAGTAGTCTCACAGTCTTGATCCTCAGATCTCAGCCTCCTGAGTAGCTAGGATTACAGGCATGAGCCACCAGTGCCCAGCTCAGTGTTTTCTTTGCAGAACTTTCAAATTGCTTTATGTACTTGAGGCATTTCTTTTGTGAGACCATCTTTTCAGTTCACCCTAAGCTCTGTAAGTAAATCTAGCCATGCTGCAGATATGCGGAAAGGAATCTGAGCTGGACTGGAAAGAGCTTTGAGGCTCATAGGGCCTTATCAACTATTTGATTTTTGTGGGTTCATTGGGAGAGGGAGAGTGATAAAGACCTCAACCTGAAGATGCTGATTCTAATCTTAGGTAAGAGTGTCCCACAGAGTGAGTCATTTAACTAATACCCGTTGTTACCATTGAGAAAACTTCTAGAAATGTAACACTCTAGACCCAGAAGACCATCTACACAACATGTAGCTAATTCTTATGTGAAGAGAAGCAGAGATTATGAAAAGGACACCAAGCCAGGGTATGGTGGTGTGTTAATATCTGTAATCCCAGCTATTCCCAAGGCTCCTACCTATATTCCTACTATATAGGAGACTCACAGTCTGAGCCTGGCCCCAGGCAAAAAAAACGAGACAATCTGAAAAATAAAATACAAAGGACCCGAGGACATGGATTAAGTGGTAGAGCACTTGCCTAGAAAGTGCCGGCTCTTGAATTGAAACTCTAGTACTGTAAAAACAAAGAAAGAAAAAGGACATTAGCTTTAGCTGAAGAAAGGTGAGTTCACTCCAGCCACTCTTTCCTAAAGTCCTGATCTCGGGCAGGTTAACTTCTTGCTTGACTGTTAGTTTGCCTGCAATATAATTATCTTTCAATCCTGATTTCTAGAATTGTTCTAGAAATTAAATACATAGAAAGTTCTACGTTAAATTTCATATGCTCTTGAAAGCAGCGCCTTTGATCCTTAAGGTTACGTTCAGTAAACTTGTCCATGAGGTTGGTTTTTTTTTTTTTTTACATGTGTTTGTGATATGATCTTGAAAACAAGATCAGCTATGGATTGTGTTTAGCCTAAAATACAAGTGAAAAGATGGAAGATAAAAATGGAAGATTCCAAGCCAGGTGCCCTGACTAAGTCTGTAATCATAGCTACTTAGGAGGTAGAGATGGGGGAATCATGGCTAGAGGCCAGCCTGGATAAAAAGTTGTCAGTGTATACCACCTGGGTGTAGGACTGAGTGTCTATCATTGCCAGCTATGTGGGGAAACACCCAGACCAGGATTGCCGCTCAGACAAGCCACGGCATAGAGACCCTACGTCAGAAATAACCAGCTTTGAAAGGAATGGCCGAGTGACTCGCGTTGTAGAGCCTCTGCCTAGCTAGTCCCTGAGTTCAATTCCCACTATTGAAAGAAAAAGAAAACACTCCATTCTGCAACTGCTAATAAAGCAACATTTTTTAGCTAGGCTCTAACTTGTATGATTATTTTTCCCTTTGAACTTGTGTTTTCTTCATTATCCTTGAGCTTTTGGACTTACATGCTGGCTTTACCCTCTCTTTCCATTCCAGGAAATTGATGGAAAATCCCTGCTATTGATGACGAGGAATGATGTGTTAACAGGACTTCAGTTAAAATTGGGACCTGCTCTGAAAATCTACGAGTATCATGTAAAACCTCTGCAGACAAAGCATTTAAAGAACAACTCTTCATAGTACAGTCAAATTGGGGTTTCAGGCCTCAAAAAAATACATCAATGACATAATTTAGTTTCATGTGATGAAACTTTGTAAACAGAATACATACATGTGTATATGTAAAGAATTTCAATCAAACAAAATGTTATCCTATTGGATAGACCAGGCAATCCATCGGCTGACCTGAATTCAGCCAGGAGGAACAAAGACAAAACACACAAGATAGTTTTCCTTGTGGAATTTGTCTCATAGAATCATCTTTGATGCTACTGATGCCCCTCCCCACAAGGGCTTTGAAATCATAAGAATTTCCTTTATTTCTTTATAGATTGCTTTCCAAAAACTCCTTTTAAAAAAGAGAATTTAGTGGAATGAGTATCTCTGGATTAGAAACTTAGAGTAAAACCAAGCCAACTTGGGGAGGGAGAGAAAAGAGAAAGGGATTGTTGTCTCCCTAGAAGTCCTCTGCTCCCTGGAGCTTGTGTTCCTTGATGGAATTGCTGACGCCCTTGTTTATAGAGGGTTCTCCACTTGACCTTATTAAGGTTTCACTGGGATATGCTGCAATGTGGAAAATAAACATGCATTGTGGCCCCTCCCAGAGCAGAACTATAGCTCTGGAAAGGGAAACTTCATTGTGTGCTAGGAAAATCCATTCTGGTTTCAGCTTACTGTCACAGGGGTAATATTTTCTGCATAGATTTGCTCACACTGGTTCTTTGTTTCTGAAGAAAGCATTTTTTTACTTTATGGTTTATATTTATAATTGTTTCAGAAGATATTAAGAGTCATAGTTCAATAAGTCTTGTTACTAGCACAGAATATTTTTATATATATTTCTTCATGATGCTGTAATATTTTTTTAATTGTCCTATACTTCGTTTGATTCCTGGTTTGAATGCTTGTTTTTAAGAACTTGAAAAAGTGGGCTTGCTACATCTCTGTTCAAAGAGACATTTGTTCAATCTCTGTGAGTCAACACCTTGTTGAATTGGTGCTTTGTGGTTGCAATAAAGCATTGCTTCAGTTTATTCTCAGTATATCTTTGATTTCTTCTGTTTGGCTGCTCTTTCAAGAGTTAAAGGTTAAGGCCTCCCTGAAAGCACAGAGAAAATTCAGCCTTTAACAAAAACCTATGGGCATAGGGCACTGGTCTATAATGCACATCCATCAGGAGGCTGAGATCTGAAGAGTTAGGTTGGAAGCTAGCCTAGGCAGACAAAGCCAAGCGATTCTTATCTACAATTAACCAGCAAAACCCACCTATTAGAAGTTGAGATACAGCTCAAGTAGTAGAACACCAGCTGTTAGTGGAAAAAGGGAATTCACACCCAGTAGAAAGAAACTTTGGCCGGGCATTGCTAGCTCATGCCTGTAATCCTAGCTACTCAGGAGACAGAGATCTGAGATTGAGGTTCAAAGCCAGCCGAGGCAAGAAACTCCATGAGACTTATCTCCAATAAACCACTCAGAAAACCGGAAGTGGTGCTGTGGCTCAAGTGGTAGAGCACTTGCCTTGAGTTGAAGAGCTGAGGGACAGTGTCCAGGCCCAGAGTTCAAACCCCATGACCAACCAAAAAAAAAAGAAACTTTGTCTGGCACTGGTAACTTATGCCTGTAATCCTGTAATCCTAGCTACTCAGAAGGCTGAGATCTTAAAGAACACAGTTTGAAGCCAGCACAGGCAAACAAATCTGTGAGACTGTTAGCTCCCGTTAACCAACAGAGTACTGGAAGTAGACTTATGGTTCAACTGATAGATTGCCCTCTTTAAGCAAAAATGCAAAGTAAGTGCTTGAGGCCCTGAGTTCAAGCCACAATACCTACCACACACATACACACACACACACAATATCATACACATTGTGGAAATTGTATAGATTTATATATGAAGTGGCCTTTTTATAAATTGATTCACCTAAGTAGAACTCATTCTTTTTAATCCCACCTAGAAACCAACTTTAGGTATTTTTAGCGGAAGATATTTTTAACCTATCAAGATCATAATTTATAATTATTTTAAATTCAGATGAAAGCAATGGGCCTTCCCTCCAGAGAAAAGCTTATATTCCCACATATAAAACTTTGCAAAGGTTGGGCACAGTGATACACCACTGTAATCCCTACACTTGGGAAGTGGAGACAGGAGGATCCTGAGTTCAAAGCCAGCCTGGACAACATAGTGAGACCCTGTCACAAACAAACAAAAAAGAACCCAGGAAACTAGGCACTGGTGGCTCACCCCTGTAATACTAGCTACTCAGGAGGCTGAGATCTGAGGATCCCAGTTCAAAGCCAGCCCAGGCAGGAAAGTCTATGAGACTCTTATCTCCAATTAACCACCAGAAAATTGGAAGTGGCTCAAAGTGGTAGAGAGCTAGCCTGAGCCAAAAGCTCAGGGATAGTGCCCAGGTCCCCAGTTCAAATCTCATGGGCAACAACAACAACAAAATTAGGAGCTAGATATTGTGTGTAGTGGTGGAACACTGCCTAGCAACATGTACAAGCCCTGGGTTTAAATTGCAGCACTGCAAAAATATAAAAGACAGGAAGGCAAAATATAAACAACATTGCAGATACATAATATACTCCCTGAGTTTCCCTTGTCCTCTTCAAGTCCTTGTTTTAAAGAGTGTTGAATTCATTAACTGAAGAGATCCTTTCTGTATAGAACAGACATCTAAAGATGAGAGTGAGAGGACACTGGAAATGGCACAAATAACAAGCAAGGCTCAAAAATTCATTCCATATTGCTTCAATCAGAATTTAGGTGTATGGAACTAAAGTCATTCTTTGTTTTGCAGTATAATTGGCAAAACAAGCTGTTCTTAACACCAGTTCCCCCAGTCTTCCTGGCAGTGCCCACAATACAAAAAGGAGGACATTGTGACATGAGAAGTGGCTGAGACCAAAGGTAAAATGAAGAATTCATTCAACTTCTTTGAAAGGAGTTTTGCCACCATAAAATGATGCCAATGTTTGACCTCTAAGTCAAATACAGAAATGCTCCGCCCCTGCTTCTGTCCTTCCACCAGATGTCTTTTTATCTTGGATGGGGACAGGTTTGGCTAGAGGTAATAGAAACTGTGTGTCTTTCATCCCCATTAGGTAATATAAACAAGACATACCTACTACTCTGTCATATAAATGTTCAGACAGGAGGACAAGAAACGGCATGGCCCTCCATGATATCAGAGACGCAGGCTCCTCCTAAGTCCTTCACTCCTTCCTTCATAACATCTATTCCCAATGACATTTCATAACCCCAAATGGCTGCTTCAGCAATTGTGATTGTCATGTGAGTTCTAACCAACAAGGAGAAGAAAAGGGTAAAGGAACAGATCTTAATTTAAGGAAACTTTCAAGTGATTGTGCATACTACCTTTCTGCCAATGTTTTGCAGTCCAGAATTCAATCTCATTGTCATATAGAAGCTTCCAAAGAAGCTTGGAATATTTCTCCTCTTACTTGGAAATCACGAACCTACCTAGAACTCCAAGTCTTATTCTGTGGTTAAACTGAAACAAATTTGGCCTAAATCAACCTCAATCTATGAGTGATAAATTCTGATTCCCTGGGGGTCACTGTATATAGCAAGCTGTAACCTAACCAAAGCTTCTACCTTTGTCACTAAGCAACAGAGCTGCAGCCAATCTCAGCAGCTGACCCATCAGCTAATCCCAAAATGAAGGTTGCCAAGTGATGCCCAAATAAGGCAAACGCACACTGGAACAATTGGGTGTTCTCTGTATGTTGTTTCCTGTCTTTCTGCTCATAAAAAAAGCTCACCACATTGTAAGAGGCTATTCAAAACCATCTTTGATCTGCAATGTTTGCTGAGTTCTAGAACCTTTTTCTTGCTTGAGTAAACTTTTAACTAGTTAAATTTAAATTTAACTGGTCTCAGTGTTCCCTTTTAACACCATAAAAAAGGGAAAAAGGTATTTAGGGACAACTTGTAATTACCATTACCATAAGTCCCTGGAAACTCCCAGCAAATGACATCACAGTTTTTAACCTGTGTTTTTCTCCAGGTTGAACTTTGGATATACTAACTCAAGTAACTTTCTGAGCTAGATATCTATTTTTTTTCAGGATGGAAAAAATATGGGAAACTAAAAATACACAGAAAAGCATAAAAATTATTCCTTATCAACTGACCACAGCTTTCAGGCAAAATTGGCAAGTTAAAGCCTTTCTTTAACAAAAATAAAAAAGCCTTTCTTACACATAGAATGAAAGGCAGAGCTGGCAAGTCTAAGCACCCTGGCAATGACTGAAGGTACTTCCAAACCATGCCACAGAGAGGCTTGGCATTTGGCAGGTAGATAGAGCCTTTGTCTCCAGATGGCATTTGAGACTGGAGATGTCTGATTCTTTTTCCTATCACATTGGATTTCTGTTAATGTGATCTTGGGCTGCAGCAGGTAGCAAATACACATGCGGTGTAAGGAAGCATTTCACAGGTATGAGTGGGAAAGAGTAGGCCCAGATTGATGTCAATATATTTTATGGTAAAGGTTCATGTAAGGACTGATTAATGTTAGACTTAACTATATTCAGCCTAAAAGACAAACAAAATATCAGAAAATATTTGAGAAAGTACCTCCATTTCATCACTTCCCTTACCACACTCAAACTTTGGAGCCAGAGCTACAAATGGAATTTCATGAGTTGACTTAAAGAACAAATTACAAACGGGTACTTTTCACTGGAATCTAAACCAATATTTTCTCTTTGGCCAATATGTGTGTTATTTAAACCACACTGGCGCATTTCCAGTAAGGTTAAAAGTACCAGTTTGCTAATATCTTCCATCCAGCCCTTCACACCTTCACAACAATTGTCAGAACTTTAAAGCATTTGAGTTTTAGACATCCCACCTCATAGAATCTGGATATCCAAAGCAAAAAATCTCACAGAGAGCCTCTGTGGAGCATGGTAATTCAGGAACTGGAGACTGCAAATAGACTAGTTGAAGAGAAACAAGTTGGAATATTGCATTGAAATATGCAGCAGATTTAAGCCACATTTTCAACGTTTATTGGACACTAGTATGGAAAGAGGAAGACCATTTGCTGGCAGTGTCTTCGTTTTTGTCCCCCATACTTATTCTACATGGGTATAGATTTTTGTCTGTCTAAGATTAGCATATGCTGTCAGTGATGCATTATCTGTTGATCATATTAGTAAATATATCCTTGAGAGAATTTAATTTGCAAAAATGTGGTGACCTACAGTTGCCCAACCACTCCCACACTTGAAAGCCAAGTACAAAATCTTACTGATGGTGATTCATCTGCCTTTGATGATCCTTGCAAATGGAATCTGCAGGGGTCAGGTCCAGGCCTGGAGCCATTAAGTGTTTTCTGTAATGATTTGGAGGATGAAGTTAAATGTTCAAAGCGCTGAGTGCTATAGGACAGATATGTCCCTTATGAGAAAACTTGTTTAATTCTGCTGCTAAACCAGGAACACAGCCCATAGAAAGGTGAAGGGAACACATGGGGTGCATTAATGAACAGCTTGTTAGGCTCATGTTGTAACTCCATAGGCAATTAAGTAGTCTGGCTACCATTTCTAGCCAATTGCAGCAGTATGATATAGAAAGATTAAAATGATTGCATCCAAGTTCATTAAGTAATTGTGCCTTTTGCGCATCTTAGAATCACTTGGAAAGCTGTGTGTAGTTTGACACTGTGCCCGAAGATAGAGGGTCCTTCAATTAGAGCTAGAAAAGTCTTTGGCTACCCCCAACCTGGTAAGTCAGAGAATCTCTGTCTAGCCTTTTACTTAAGGAATAATCAGGAAAGCTGTGGGACTAGCTCATCTCCAAAGAGAAATATTCCCCTCTTCCATAGAATAAAACCACCTTTATGATATCAGATGTGGGGGTAAGGTCAGTGAGTAAAGGTGTAAACAATACTGAACTCATTAACTTTGCAAGAAGTTTTGCCTAGGTAGCCAGAACTATAAGCAACCACAAATGTGCAGAAAGATGGTTTCTCTTATCATAAACCACCTTGGTCAC